TTCTGTTTTGTAAATCTTTAGGGTACGTGTGCATAAACAATCATGCCGTCTGTGGCTAGAGGGTTTTACTTCTTCCTTTCTGAACTTTAGGCATCTTTTTTCTTCTCCTTATCTCATTATACCAGCTAGGAATTCCAATAAAACATTGAACAGAAGTGGTGGGAATGGCCACTCTTATCTACTTCCAATCTTGAGAGAAAGGTTCAGTATTTCATTATTAGATACAATGTTAGCTGTATATTTTTTGTGAATGGCTATCGTATTTAGGACTTCAAGCTTTGCTTTTCTCTTGGTGAGTCACAGCTCAGTCTGGTTAGTTCTCTTAGTCTTAGAGGGGCTTCCCATGTGTGTTGTTCAGGTATCAGTCAGAGGTTTGGGAAGAATCTGTAGACACAGTTTGAGTCTCCCCTCTCTGGCTGTCTTCTTTTCTGGATGTATCCCTTTAATTTCCAACTGCTATAGTAGCACCAAACTTTGTCCTTTGATTCTTTTTTTTTTTTAAGATTTTGTTTACTTATTTTTAGAGAGGGGGGAGGGAAGGAGAAAGAAAGGAAGAGAAACATCATTGTGTAGTTGCCTGTCACATGACCCTAATGGGGACCTGGCTTGCAACCCAGGCATGTGCCCTGACTGGGAATCGAACAGATGACCCTTTGGTTTGCAGGCCGGCACCAATCCACTGAGACACATCAGCCAGGGCTGTTATTTGATTCTTTATGCAAAGTAAGACTGCAGATTTCTATCCAAATTCCAGTTGTCCTGTGTCTGGAGTAGCTTCCCAAATCTTTTTACTTCTAGTGACTTTCCAGTGTTTTCAAATAGTTGTGTTTTTTTTAAAGATTTATTTATTTATTTTTAGAGAGGGAAGGGAGGGAGAAAGAGAGAGAGAGAAAAACATCAATGTGCGGTTGTTGGGGGCTGTGGCTTGCAACCCAGGCACGTACCCTGACTGGGAATCGAACCTGCGACACTTTGGTTCGCAGCTGCTCAATCCACTGAGCTATGCCAGCCAGGGCTAAAATAGTTGTTTTTAATATAATTTTTCTAATGTTTACAGTTTTTTTAGTTGTTTATTTTTCTTTAAAGTCTAGTGTAAATAACTTCAACATTATCAGACATGGAACCTACATTTTAAATAATGTGGTCAGAATCGTCCTTATAAGGAATGTGGAATTTAGCCAGTGATGGTTTCTTTCTTTCTTTTTTTTTTTTTTGAAAAGGCTCCAGGCAGGCAGAAAAGAGATAGCCAAGGTGGGAGGAGACTGATACGGTTGGGAAACAGTAAGAAGAGCAGGGTTTCGGGAAGAGTGGTGTGATCAGACATGCATTTCACAAATGTAACACCTGCTATTTTGTGAGTAGACTGTATGGATGCAAGTGTTGAAGCAGGGAAATAATTAGGAGGCTGTTGTAAGAATTCACAGGAGAGGAAAAAGCCGAACAGAGAAGTAGCAATGGACCGCGGTGAGGGTGGTGACATGCTAGATATGCTGTGCAGAAGGAGCCAACAGATTTTCCAACATACTGGATGCTGGATATGAAAGAAAGTGAGGTGTTCAGAATGACTACGGGTTTTTTTTGACAAGTCATACAAAAGGATGGAATTGCTATCAACTGAGATGGAGAAGGCTATGGGTGAATTAGTTTACTAAGACAAGTTTGTGCCCTAAACGCTCACACTCATGAGTGAGAGATGTAATTAAATCACTAATGTGATCAACTAACTGAACTAATGTGCTAAGAACTTTTTATAGTAGTTCTTCTGGAGAGCAGAGGAAAAAAAGTATCATTTCAATCAGTGATGAGCAAACAGGTAGCAGCAGATCAATGTATTGAAGAATAAGTTGGGTGTGAATGAACAAGGAGAAAGAAACGAGTGATAAAAAATAATCCTGGGCAACAGCACAGAAATGTAGGAATTACTGCTAAGAGCTTGGGGGTGGGACGTGGTTTGGTGTGACTGGAGTCAGAACTGTGTGATGAGGTTGACTGGAAAAGGATAGAGCACTTGAAGAGAGGGAACAAGGGGAGGGGGAGATATAATCAAGACAAAGGTTACATAATGTACTGTACTAATGAGCTTGCACTTATTCGACAGGCATTGGGAGGTGTGAAGAGGTATTTTAATGTAAATTAATGTAAAAATCCTTGGGTGGAAAACAAACCAGCAATTTGTATTGATCGCTTTTTTCTGTGCCTTGTTCAAAGCCAATTAAACATACTGTAAATAAATTACAGTTCCACACTGTGGTTCCGCAGGGCATTCTCTGAGCTGTCCTATTACAGTGTTTTAATTTGATGACTTTTTTCTCTGACATGACTTAATGACTTCTCACGATCTTAAATAGAAGGGGACAATACACACAAAGTGAATAATGCCAGTTTTCCCATTCACTTGGGTGAGATATTAAGTGATTCGCTGTTTGCCAATGCATTATAAATGAAAAAGGTTTTACAACCATTGAGGGAAGAAACTGATGCTATTGAGTCTCATGGTTACTCCTTCTCTTCAAGACATGGGCCCCTGGAGTGAGATATCTGGGGACTTTCAGTAGCAGTCAGTCAAAAGCATAAAAGGAATTTATTTCTCTTCCTCATATGACAAAAGGTAGAATTGGTTATAAAATGTTTGATACATGTGTTTAGACACATATTAGTGAATCTAGTAATAGTGTTATATTTGAAGGCCTGGAAAAAACAGTACATTACATTCCTTGGGATATTTTAGAATTATGAAATGTTTGGAATAGAAGGGATGAGGGTCTAATTTTAAATGTTAAGCAGTATTTAAGATGCTTAAAATTTATGGTTTCTGTGTAATACATAAGGAAAAACCTGGTTTTAGAGCAAAAAGATGTGTATTTGAATTGTAACTCCTCCTCCTAGTGGTGGTTTGATATTGACTGAGTCTCAAACTCTTTGAGCTTCATCTTCGTCCCCAGCGACCGTGAAGATACAGGGGAAACTGGTGTGGCAGTAACATGAACACTGTAGAGCACTGTTGAAATCTTAAGACACACTATTTCACACTGCTGCTGTATGCTATACATTACATAATAAAAGGTATATCTCTCCAGGCAAAAAAAATGTGAGATTTAACCCACTGTTCAATTAACATAGAACTGCATAAATATGATGTATGAATTGGTTTCATTGATTTTTATAATGTAAACATTTTTAAGCTACTGAAATAGGTTCTTTTCCTTTCAGACTAAATAACCAATACATGAATAAGCAGTTTTCCTGCACCTCCCACCTTTTATATGTCCACCCATCTGCCTTTAAACAACTATCATATAATTAGCCTAAGGCAAAAGTGTTCTGAATGGCGATCAGAGTCAAAGGTGAAGGAGTACCTCACGGGACTGGTCTGTGGTCGCCAATCTCCAGTGCTTCCCTCCAGAGTTCCAGATGCATACACCTCTTCTTTATTCTTTCAGCTATTGTGTGAGATGGATTATCTGTTACAACTTATTGTTGTTTTTAGTGAATGAAACAGTACAGACCAGTGGATGGCAAAATTCAGTGTAAGAAGATACTCTCAAACTCTAGAAATGAGCCTTTGTTGAGTTCTTTTACTCAATGGTTAGTCCATACCTACATTAGCCAATTTTAAACTTAGAGATTAACTAATTTAAGCCTTAGATCAATAATGGAGATTTAAATATATGTTTTCTAACAAAAACTACAAAGCTTTTGATTTCATTTTTGAACATACCCATAACATGAACCTTCTTCTTCATGAGTGGTAGGTATTGAAAAACTGAATCATCAACATTATTACCATGCTCATAATCATCATCCACACTGAAAAAAGAACAGGTTTTTGGTCCTCAGATAGTAAATTGAACAGTTAATTTTTGAAAATTTTTGCTGGAACCTATATAATTACCTTCTAACTTCAGAGAAAACAGATGGAATTCTTACTCTTGTAGAATGTTGTAGAATGAATAAAATTCTTGAAAGTGAAAAACTGTTGATTGGACAGATATTCCAGACACCCAGTTTCTATTTGACTATGATGCAAATACCTACTTTTGTATATGTAAAGGACTTTGGTAGTCCAATGATGACAAATTAAATCTATTTAAAATGAAGAGGCAGTAGTTTCACTTGTATACCACCAGAGATCCAAGGTGCAAGGCATCAGTCTTTGAAAACAATTCGAACTTGGTCTTTGGTAATGCTCTTAAATATTGTATCTGAGCGGCATTCATTATGTAATGGACAAAGAAATTTTATGTAGCAAACATACCTTTATTTTAATATTTTAGGTATATGGGTTAATTGTTGGTTTTAAGGTAAGCTAAGCCGCTTTTCATAGAGTAGTAAGAGCCTATTTTATATTTCTATTCTTACTACTTTTCCAAATGAGACCATTGGTGTCTCATATCTCATTTGATTAGTTCATTACTGAAATTACACTCTTTTTTTTTCAGATAAGAAACTGTAATGATGTTTTGGATTTCAATGTGCTAGTGCTTCGGAAAAATGACATGTGTATATGTCTGTGTGTGCTCAATATCTGCTTTTTTGTTATGTCTTCTGGGACAAAGCTAGGTGCTAATGATGTAATCACTATTTTTAACACTAACAAAACCCTTTTAATCTAATGCTAGAAATATTTAATAAAAGCCTATTTGTGGAAGTGTGTAGTAAAAACATAGATTTAAATTTGCAGACTTACTGGGACAAAGACTTATCACCTGGGTGTTCCCAGCTCTCATTGGTATTGTTTTATTTTGCAGACATGTTACTTCCATCAGCCAGCCGCTTCTGGCCCTCTACGTGCCTATTCTCATTCAGCAGTTAAATGTGGCCATTGGTCAGGAGCACTTTGTCTCCCTATTTTGGTACAAAGGGAAAAAACAGAATGAGGATTTTACACCTTTACTGAAGCTGAGTCATAAGTGATCTGGTTGTAGGTCCTCACATTTCAGTTTCCAGGCTGCCAAGTAAAAAGCAGTTGTAAAATTAGACCAATTTTGTTTACATTTCAGACCATGTGGATGAGCGAACAGTATGCAACGGGATTGCCCCCGAAAAGGACGTAGATGGATTTCATATTATCAATATTGGAAGACTGTGCCTTGATCAGCATTCTCTCATACCTGCCACTGCCAGTGCTGTCTGGGAAATAATCAAAAGGACAGGTGGGTAACTTGTGGTCTGTGGGACATGGGTGCTCTGTGCCAAACCAAACATTTGTACATTGCCTTGATGGAACAACCTCAGTCCTACTAAGTGAAAGAAAATGATAAGCCATAAAATTTCAGCCTGTAGAAAAATGTAAAGTTGTATAAGTCAAAGAATAATCCAAAACAAAATAAACTGCGGGTAACTGTGCTTGTATCTTACAGGGAGTGAATTTTCTAGTAATAGGTTTGCCTCCTTACTTTTAAGCTAAAAACAATGTATTTTGATGTACACTTTCTAGAATGTATTATGTATTTCCTTACCTTTAAAAACAGAATGTGCTGAACATATTTGAATCATCTCTAATGACCTGGGTTTTCAATTATAAACATTTACCTTTGAACTATGCAGTAAATACCAATGTATATCTCACAGGTGTGTAGAGATGTTTGCCTCTGTATTAATTGACCCCATATTGCCTTTTGATTGCCTTCTATATTGATGATTCTCCTGCTTCCATCACTGTCACTTCCATTTGTGACAGCCTCTTCTCCTTTCTAATCTGCTTTTTCCAATTGAAAGAGAAAATTTCCAAGGGAAAGCAGATCCTAGAGTTATACTCTTAGAATCTTAGTAGTGGGGGCAGAAAGCAATTCTAACATCTTCTTTTCCCGTATGAAGAAACTATGCCCAAAAGAGGTAAAGTGTATTAAATCTGCTGTTTTATATTTTATATCTTTTTAAGTCTCTAGTTTAATGCTTCTCTCCTATGGAGTAAAGTGCATGAACTTTGTGAAAAATACTTTTTTTCCTACTTCATTTTGTTCCAGTTGTGCTCAAAGTATGATTGCCAATTAAAGTTGGCATTGTTGTACTTTGCAATTAGCAGTTAATATGTTTTAAGTCTCTGTACTTCTAACTCTTCACATGAATCTCAGTACTTAAAAGTAATTTAATGGAAAGAAGGGGAAGGAACTAGACAAAGACCATGTATGAATGACCCACAGACATGGACAACAGTGTGGGAACTGACAGTAGGATGGGTGGAGGAGGGCAAAGGGGAGAAATTGGCCCAACTGTAATAGAGTAACAATAAAAAATGATTAAAAAATAATTTAATAGCAACTTGAAAATATTTGTGAGTTTTTTTCTATGGGGACATAATCATAGAGAAAGTGGCAAATCCAAGAAGTATTAAAAGAATATTTATAAATAATGAATGTGGACACATTATAGACAAGCCACACAATAATCCAAATTTAATCAGAAGTTTTTAAAGAATGTTTCAGCTGCTGATCAAATGTTTATTTGCTTCTTGCTGTTGACTATTTAAATCAAACTCCATTTTAAGGAATCGAAACATTTGGGAAAAACGTGGTTGTGGCTGGAAGATCCAAGAATGTAGGGATGCCCATCGCCATGCTGTTGCACACCGATGGAGAACATGAGCGGCCGGGAGGTAGGCAGGGCCTGGGGAGTCTGTGTACCTTCACAGGTTTCTTACTTCTTACAGTCATCACATCTAAATGTGTGAAATTGCGACTTAGTGTATTTGTAGGTTCATGCAAATGAAGGTTTCCTTTATTCCTCATCTGATTACATGGGCACCTTGAACGTGAATAAAGGAATTACTGGAAATGTGTAGCTACTTTGTTCCTGTGTTTTATTTTGGCCATATATACTTTCTCTAAATCATTAACAATATAGATATTAAGAAAAGTGGGAAGCTAGTAGATATCCCCATAAAATCACATGACAAATATCTGCATACTCACACACACATGTAGCACAACACCAGTGCACAGATATATAGATTTCTTATCATTAACCTTGGCGAATTTTAGTTTCCTGATTTCAAATTTTCAAATACCTGTTTTAATCTGGGTTGACATAATGCATATGAAATAATTTTTAAGCTAAAAAGCCCTGTGAAATAGTAAGCCCAGTGATAACACCCTTTTTATCTAAAAGGGTGAATGATGACACTGGACAACTGATTTTCCTTCCTGGGCCTAAAGATTTAAATACTGCCACAAATCAAAATGTGTGTGTGGATCACATTGAGTTAGAGCCTGGTAGTGACTCCAGGGAACTTTAAAAGCCTTAGTTTGAAGAAGTTTTTGAAAGGCCAAAGCTGGTGGTGAAAACACAGTTTTTATAATAACCATCTACAAAGTTGCATTCCTAGTTTTACTCTTCACTTCTGTCTTAGTCTATTAGGGCTTGTCTATCTCCCCTAGGGTATAATAAAAATGTTGATTCATATTTGCCTTTATGTAATAGGTTCTATCTTAGGCAAGGTAAAACAACCAGGCAGTTTACGTAGGTACACTTTTTTTGTTGGGAAATCCTGGCCAAGAGCCAATAAACAGTTTTTTCATTTTCAACGTTCCATTTTGTCTCATCAATAATGTAACAATAACAAGCTGCACAACTGTATAATACTTTCTCATAAACTGTCTTTGCTTACTTCTCAATAATTCTGGCATACATGTATTATTTGCATTTAGGAGCTAAAGGAAATGAGCTTTAGAGACTTCAGGTGACGTACCAAGGACACACAAGGAAGTGGTAACTCAGGGCTGGGAGCTGAGCACTGACCGTGTGTTTAGGAGGATAGACTTTGAGTCAGACCCTGTTCTGCTGAGCCCTGCTCCCTCAGACAAGTCATTTACCATGATTTTTGCATTATAAGATGCACCCCCCAAATTTGGGAGGAAAAGGGCGGGGTGCATCCTATATTCCGAATGTAGTTTACCTGGCTTGTGGGGGGGGCAGCAACGGTGAAGTGGGGTCACAGGTTATTAAATATTTTACCACATTTTTTGCCTCAATTTTTTTTTTCCTGTTTTCCTCCTCTAAAGCCTAGGTGCATCTTATATAGTTCAGTGCATCTTATAGTCCTAAAAATACGGTGATCAGCTGTACACCTCCACTTCCCTCATCTGTGGAATGTATATGATATTAGTATCTCCTTCACTGAATTATTGTGAAAATTAAACAATATATGAATGTAAAGCGCTAATTATAGTGCCTGACATAGTAAGTTAAGGAAGCCCTTGTACATGTGCGCTGTGGCTGTCACTGCTATTTCCATTATTATGATCAAGTTAATAATCTGTGGCCGCACTAATCATGAAGTTTAGAGTAACACGATCCAAGGTTAATGATGTATTTTTCACCTTCATTTATTTTTTTTTCCTGTTGGGTTTTATGTTTGATTTATTTTGGATCAAATCTAGTCTTTGTTGCAATAATTTGCAAAAATGCAGAATTTATAAAGTCTATAAAGTATTTGATTAGAAGTATGACATCATGATAGTCCATACTTTACAGGATACTTTTTCTTGTAGATGTCAATAAATTGTAAGCTAACCGCTTGATAAATTTTAATTTTGAATTATTTGTCATGTATAAGTCTAAGAAAATTAACTTAGCCTTTGTTAATACAATTTTAAATTAGATATTCCTATGTCATAAAACATATTAACTTTATAAATACTTTATAGTTTGTGTTATAAAATATTCTCATTTGAATGCATGTTAAAAATTGAATCAAAAGTGGAATTAGTTATATATTACTGATAACTTAAAGACAGTAGTTAAATTTACATTTATTATAGCAGCACCTAGGTACTGATATAATTATAGAATCTAAAAGGTAACAAATTATGTTAAAATGATGTTGAACAGTTTGTAACATGGGTGGTATTTAATCTTATGGATATTTAATAGGAGTGTGCTGACTTATATGATTAATATAATGAATTGTTGAGAGCTGTTTACTGAAGATTTGGAGTCTGTGGGGAAGTTAATATTTCAAATGCCCATGTCTGTGTAGTTATTGTATGTAAATAACTATGTGTACATTGTTAACTAATGGAAATAATGAAGGAGGGTTAACTTGGCCAATTCATATCTATAGAACTTTCTGATGACACTCACAATGTCGAGCATTCAGCTCACAGTGTATTTCTTTGGTAGTAGACACTCAGAACTCTGATTCATTTGTGTTTTAAAACCAAAGATAATTGCACTAGATAAAAATGGCCATACTGTCATTTAGCTTAAGTAATATGTGGCTACTCATGGCTAATTGTAGTCTTGATTATTTAAGATGTGGATCCCTGCTGTTTTGTAAGAAAGATCTTTTAATTTTTCATGGGCTTGAAATATTTAGAGGACAGAGAATGTGCCAAAATCTTGAGATCAATGGGTAGTGCGGGTACTCAATGCAGCAGGATACTACAGGGTGAGTGCCTTCTGCTGAAGACGTGCCATCACAGCCACTATGTAGTTCATAGGGAGTAGGTGAGAAATAGTTCCTGTCCTCCGTGAGCTTATGGCCTTGATGATAGTGGTGGGCATGATATATAAGTATGGGTGCTTTGAATTATAAATATTCAGTGAGACAAAATAAATTTGGTATCCTTAAGCAAACATGCTAGTTGCTTAGGGAAGCCCATAGTTAATTGGGGAACATAAAGAGATTGATAGTGGGGAGTCTGTTCTCACAACCCCTACTACTTATTAGGATGTTTGGGTACCATTGTCACTACCCATTAATCACAGTGTATTTTTTTACCTTCTTTGTATGTAGTAACCTGCCCAGTTTCAGCTTATTTTGGAATGAAAACTTAAACCATTGGCTTTAGCACACTGTCTTTATTTTTAACTTGACCGCGAGGAAGCAAGAGAGAAGTTCTGCAATTTCTCTAAAACAGTTTTTTCCCCTTCAAGATAACAAAGTGCCACAATAACCAAAGCATTATGATTTTTTTCACCAAAGGAATGCATATGATTTTATTTCAAATTCTTTTAGATAATTAGCAAATTTCTGCATATTTTTATATTTTATGTAGGATATCTCATCTAAACAGATCCCCCTAAATGGCTACAACGTGGGTTCCATGTGCCCCTTTTAACCAAAAGGTGTGGCGTCAATGCAGTGGAATTGGTGCTGGGACTTTTTAAACAGCACTTTAAAAGGGCCATCAACCAACTGATGTTGCTTACAGTTCTGGGGAACCAGGGATATTCTTGATTTCATTCAGGCAATGTGCTCTCAGTACTTAACTCTATGAAACACCCAGTTAGTGGCAAAAATACTTAGTCCTCTGTTTCCTGAAGATGAGTTTGCATCTTCAAGGTTCACCTTTGGACACCATTTTTTTCAAAGCACTGCTTTGGTATTGGTGTTCAGCTTTTGCACTCAAGCTGCCATTCTGTTGCAACTTTCTGTATATCAGGTATTTTTCATTCAAGGACCATCATATCTAAATGGAAAACCATGAGATATTTTGCTAGTAGAGTGCCTTTCCTTTGCGAAAATTGGTTCCAGATGTGAAAATGAACAGCTTCGCCCACCCAAGAGCATCATCTCTCACCTACAGGAGGTGCCTTCAGGTAGTGAGACAGGAGTGGATGTTCCAGGCAGTGCGACATGATGTGTGTGGTCTGTGTGATTAAGCTCGGCCCAGTGCCATGTGGGGTCAGGCACTCTGGGGTTTCTGAGAGAGGAGCCAAACAGGAACATCTAGAAATGCAGGAGTGAGGCCAAGTGATCAATACTGAGACTCTTCGCCTTGGCAGTGGAGTGGAGTGGGGTATTTGCTGCCTCTGGAATGAGCCATTGTCAAACTGGGCCAGGGAGGCTGGCAGGCGTTTGGTGTCTGCTCCTCCCAGCACACAACCCCGAAGTTAGAAGTCCTCATGATAAGATATTAGGATATTATGTTTTGTGATGTCTCTATGTTGATTAGACTTGACTGAATTACAGCTTTGAGTTTTGCAGAGTGGAAAACAATAGAAAAAATCAAATCCTTGTGCTAGTCTCATTTTCTCAGCTGCATAGTAAGAGTACTGTTTCATTTTCAATGTCTCCTCAATTCAGACAGCTAGGATCTGAAAAACACTGTACTTGGAAAATATGTATTCTCATATCAAACAAGTGGGACGATTACACTGTTGAAACTTACATAAAACATTATTTAAATGTAAAGTGAAGTTAGAATCTTTCTCTTTTTCTTTCATTTTCTTTTTCACCATGACCTCTGAGGCATAATTTATTTTATTACCAGCACAACGCATTCCTTTAGTAAAGTCTGTAAGTCTGATTGTTCCGGGCATCACTGAGAAGGATATTGTGGTCTGCTCCACAATTTTCAGCCGTTCCTCCTGGCACTTTCTCTTGGGGTCCTTATGCTGAGGCTCCATAGAAACACACATGTTCCCCAAACACATGGTCTCTTCCTTGCCTCCTTGTCATTGCATACGCTGTGCCCTGTGTGTGGAATGCCATTTTCCATCACTCACCAGCTTTCCTCTCACCTCCCACCTGTCTTGCAGGATGTGGCCCAGATCTTCTAAGCTTTGCGCATTGTATGTGCTGCCGACACAATACTAGTCTGATTGCATATTAACTATCTACCTGTTCTCCTTTCCTACACATTATGGGAA